GGAGGAGGCGAGCCAGTCAGTATGTGCTCACAGAGAGAGGCGCATGCGCCGACTGGGCAGCCACCTACATAACTGTCACTCCATCTACGACATCCAGGTGGAGATACTGGAGCTGAGGTCAAGGTCGTCCGGCAGGGACACGCTGGCAGACTGCGGGTGAGTTACCTCCTCCCTCAGGGTCGGAAGCCCGCCTCCTAAATGATCGAAAATAATAGTGTCGTTCGGCGTGATATATACGGGGTGCCCACTACGGCTAGATCGGGCCAATGTTATGTACTATCATTGATCGGGCCGATCGCCCGACTCGATCGCCTGAAACTGATAACAAACACTTTTGTTTTTTAGGCGATCGAGTCGGGCGGTCGGCCCAATTGGCCGATCCCAGCCGTAGTGGGCACCCCGAATTAGAATTAAAACATAACACCTACGTTTTAATGACAACTACTTACTGAGTTGTAACCGGATGTATTAATAAGTGCTGTACCGTGTCCGTGTATGTGTATATGAAAAAACAACAACACTGTTGTTGTTTTTGTCGTTGTTTTTGTTGTTGTTATTATTGTTGTCGCTGCTGCTGTTGTTGTCGTGGTTGTTGTTGTTGTTTTGTGTGTAGGCTATATGTGCATGTGTGTGTGTGTGCGTGTGATGTGTTCGTGTGTGTGCATGTGTGTTCGTGTGTGTGTGTGTGTGAGTGTGTGTGTGTTTGTGTGAGTGTGTTCGTGTGTGTGTGTGAATGTGTGTGTGTTTGTGTGCGCGCGCGCGTGTGTGTGTGTGTGTGTGTGTCCGACGGATTTTGAAGTTCAACAGAGTCAGTAATGATCAACAAATATAGATGTATGTGGTTCACACCTCTATTGACACAATGAGATCATTTCAGAGGCGGATTTTGACCTTGCCCTCCTCTCCGGCCCAACCCTAGTTAAGGGAGATGCGACGCCTCAGCAGAAAGACCGAGATACATGTACTCGATATCGAATGAAGTCAACAGTCTTGGAATTGGAAGTTTTTGGCAAGCTGGTAATGGTAAAGGGGTTATATAATGATTTTAAAAGTCTCTCTAATTGATTTTTCATTCCCAGCCTCTTGGCAGAACTGAGGGAGTGTATGTTGCGTTCGACGGGGCGCTTGTGCGGTTCCGCATTCAGATCTGTCATCGACATTTCCTGGAGGATCAGCTATGCACAGATGCAGGATAGACTTAGGTGTCCAACTATTGACGGTGAGTTTACGGTCATTCACAATTTGTTTTTGTTTGTTTGTTTAAAAGAGAAAAAAGTTAATAAAACTTGGTTAAGATCTAGACATGCTTACTTAAGACGTGATGCAAAGTAACTGGCGTATTGTCGTCCAGCAGTTCAGATGCGAAATGATAATTTTAACACCCCTATCAACACTGTTAGGGTATTTAAGAGGCGGGACCTCCGATTTTAGCGTCCATCTCTGATTGAAAGGACCGGGCCGAGAGGGATATCCGTGTAAAGTGCCTTCCCCAAGGACACAACGTAGGACTGAGCTGAGGCTCGAACCCCCGAACCCGCAATTTTACTCGGCTACCGACGCCACAGTTCTGATGTACACACACTAAGTCTTAGATTTGGAAAAATGAAAGGAACAACTATTGTAGTTTCATAATCTGTGGAACCGGTTGCATATGCTAGAGAAATATTTTGTTGAAATTCCAGTTTTATAAAAGTAAAAGCAAGAAAGATGTAGGCCTATAGTATTAGTATAGGAATGAAAATGAATTCAAGGACATTTGTGAGGCAGCGTAGTGGAATCAGGCTCTCGTCAATTTTTGGGCATGTGGAGTTATTGGTATCATCTTAAAGCTTGTTTACTTGTCTTTATTTGGTTGAAAAAAATATCCATTTATCTTGAATACAAGTCGAGATATTTGTGAAGGAAGGAGGTGGGGTCACCTGTTTTCAGAGGTAAAATTAGTGAGAAAATGGCCGCCAAAGATTAGTTATTTCCTCAGCTTAAGAGTCCGTGGTAACTAAAAATTTTCATTTTTATGCCTTTATTCAACGTTTTTCAGAAAAATCCACACAGAAATGAGTTCTTTAATGGGCATGTGTTTAGCCAAAAAACTAAAATTTGATAAAAATTCACAAACTGCGGAAAAATGCAAGTTTCTTCACTTTGATAATTTTGACGAGAGCCTGATTCCACCACGCTGCCCCACATTTTATTTCTCTCTTATTAAATATTTTGCTTTCTGGGTTTAGAACAGTTGAAGTTGAAGAGGTATTGCTGTCTTTCTTGTGTTGTAGAATATGGTGGTTTTTATTTGCTCGTAGTGTAATGGACCCTTCAGAAATATGATTTCTTAGAAGACTGCTGAGAATATCTTGGAAGGAAAAGAAATCAAATGACGTAGTGCTTGATGAAGCCCACGTGGGACGCTCACTGTTACAAACAGTCAGGAAACGACAATGCAGTTTTTGGGACACCAGAATATGTAGACCCCCCCCCCCCCCCCCCCCCACCCAAATAACAAAATCTGAATATCCAAGACAGAAATTGATGTGCAGATTTTTTTTCTTCTGTTTGTCTGAGTCCCTTGCGATTCCGTCTTACGATCTCAGACAGGCTTGGCAGTCCTGTTTCAATTACTTCCCTTGATTTTCTCAAATACTTTTCTCATCTCTTGTTATCGCGGTTCACTGGAATTAAGGACGTGTTAAACATACTCATCAATCCCCAACGTGTTCACTGTAAAAATATTTGTGCTCTATTTATTTATTTAATTTATATTCTTTCATCCATCCACGTATACGCTCTTTCATTTACTCATTTTTTTTCTCCGCAGAAGCAGAATATGGCATCAGTGGCAGTCTCCCTAACCTTCCAGGATCAGCAGGCACGGGCAGGCCGTGGAGATACACGACTTCCAGGAGAGTTAACCGCCCGTAGACACGCATAACTCCGTGATGACTACAAAGACATTCTACGAATAGTCAGCTGAGACGCGAGAGAAGCCAATGATATTGTTGTACAGGCAAAGACATCATTCAGATGTTTTCGTTTGAAACTTGACTTTATTTAGTACAATAACCCACCACGTTGTAGCCTACGTCTTCTCAAAGATAGATACATGATACCCTATATTATTAAGTAGGCCTACATGTACAGTACTCGGCTTAAAGCTATTGCAAACGTATGGTCTATTCTGCAGCAGTTTAGTCTAGTAGTGCGCGTCGTGCCGCGAGCCTACGTTCTTCTACTCTCAGTTTTGGTTTTAGTAAGAGTTTTACAGCCTTTGCAACACAATTAGGTCATATAAGAGCCAAAGATTAGAGGTGTTACGACTGGGTGGACCACTCGCCACCGGTAATTTCATACACTTTTAAAAACCTGTCTCCTCAATTTTGTGAAAAATCAAACGCTTATTCGTAACCGCATCAGGTGTTAACCCTATTCATGATGTCAATAGCTTTTTAACGGATATCAATATATTTGCTCTGTATATAATCATTTTGTACACATTAGCTGTAAAGCGCATAGGGTAAAGCATGCTTTAGAGCGTGGGTATAAAGCGCTGTATAAATGCAATGGCTATAACTTGATATAGTAAAAAAAGATATTTAAATGTGAGGCAGCGTGGTGGAATCAGGCTCTCGTCAATTTTTGGGCATGTAGAGTTATTGGTATCATCTTAAAGCTTGTTCTCTTGTCTATATTTGGATGAAAAAAATATCCATTTATCTTGAATACAAGTCAAGATATTTGCGAAAGAAGTAGGTGGGGGTCACCTGTTTTCAGAGGTAAAATTAGTGAGAAAATGGCCACCAAAAATTAGTTATTTCCTTAGCTTAAGAGTCCGTGGTAACAAAAAATTTACATTTTTTTGTGCCTTTAATCAACGTTTTTAAGAAAAATCCACACAGAAATGAGTTCTTTAATGGGCATGAAAGGTGCTGAGCCAAAAACCAAAATTTGATAACAATTCACAAACCTGCGGAAAAATGCAAGTTTCTTCACTTTGATTATTTTGACGAGAGCCTGATTCCACCACGCTGCCTCACAAATGGAAGAGGAGTTCGCAAATCTAGTTTCATTCTGGCTAATGTCCACTTGAGGAAGAGAAACAAGAGGGGAAGACTCCGAAGAAAGGTGGGGCCGTGGATAAAAGATGGAAGGGTAAATAGGATGATCGGGTGGCCAAGAAGTAACAGAAAAGAAGAAAAGAAACTATAGAAAGTAAGAAAGGAGGAAACAAAACGAGACTGGGACGGGGTCTAAAAGATTTTTAAAAAACAAAAAAAAAAACCCAACAACAATAACCCAAAAAACCCCCAACAAAAACCAATGGAGTAAAGACAAAACGAGGAAGGGAGGAAGAGCTTTTAGTTCATTCATGTAAAAGTGTTACGGCATTTGCAACACAATAAGGTCATATAAGTGCCGAAGATGAGAGGTGTTACAAGAGAGTAATAAACACAAAAAAAGGAGGGGAGATAAGGACGACAGATGATTGATAGGAAAGAAGGAGCAAACCACACCAGAGCACCCCCCAACCACCCGCAGGAAGAGTTTGCAGTTTTCCCAAACAATCTGTGACGTGTATTATATCAGCTACTGCATGTAAATTGTACAATGTAATGTGTTCTGATAAATTTGCAGCTGACACAGCGTTGGGCTACGAAGGTCATCTTAGCATGGTAGCCTAACTAATAACGGTTTGCATTTTTCAAATTCTAGATATATATATGGTGTACTTACTGCTTACTTTATTCATTGTTGCTTTAAAAACGAATCTCAGACTCAGCCTACACTTGTCCATTTTTCAATATATGATATGCGCTTTTCGTTTTAATTACACTTGACATTTGATCCCATTTGATTGCCAAGTGCAAAAAAACGAAAAACAACCCGCGACAATGGTCTCACCTGTACAGAACATGGATTACATTTTTAGCATCCGAAAATACGAAGAATATTATAACATACAGCTGAACCTAAAGTGCCTTCAATGTCATGGACCCACACCACGTCATCTCCCCCCCCCCCCTTATTTTTATCCAAAAAGCGCAGACGTGGGGAAAAGTATGACCCCCCCACCCCCCAAACAAACAGTTAAGTGATTGATTTACGCAAGTCTTGGATTCAAAACTTTCAAATACCCAACATCTTTACACAACTGAACACAATTACTGTTTTTCAGTTAGAACCCTAAGCTTTCTGACTTTCTGCAGATGGAAGCTAAGCCCTTGGTCGTATTCCCATGTCTCTTTAAAAATTCACAAAGAACAACAATCACAAACGAATAAAAACAGATAAAATTAACAATTCCTGTTGGCAATGTTGAGCTTTGGAGTACTGTGCACCCTATCAAAATGTTGACAGCGTTATTAATATTATTATGTATACTCATGTCTATATATTATTTCTAGTTAATATCAATATATAACAGTACATGTGTTATTTTATACATATACATGATAGATCTATAACTACCTTATGATACAACTTTCTTCATTCAGGTTGTGACACATCATGTCCTTGTAAGTTGTAGCTTGTTTCATAGAAAAAATATATTATTCACATTTTCCTACACATCAACGATGTCTCATTTTATTATGTCTGAGTCTCTTGTAAGAGTTTTTGTTCTTGTAAGAGTTTTACGGCACTTGCAACACAATAAGGTCATATAAGTGCCGAAGATTAGAGGTGTTACAAGAAAGTAACATACATTAAAAAGAAGGAGGGCAGATAGGGACGATAGATTTTTTATAGGAAAGAAGGAGCAAACCACACCAGAGCACCCACCAACCACCCACCTGAGTCTGAATACATGACATGCTCTCCTCATCACGAGTCCCATTTGTCATGTTTCAGTGTACTTTGTCTGCTCTGCTACACTACCATCAAATCTTCGAACACCCTTTTTTTTTCAAATTGTTTTTGTTTTTGTTTTAGTTTAAAATGATTTGTGGCGCTTGCAACACAACTAGATCATCGAAGATCAGAGGTGTTACAAATACAAGAGAGCAACAAGAACAAAAGAAAGGAGGTGACACTTCTTTTTCGAATGAGCTTTACGGCACTTGCAACACAATAAGGTCATAGAAGTGCCGAAGATAAGAATAAAGAAGTGTCATTTGTTTTAGTAGAGGTTTTACGGCGCTCCCAACTGCATAAGGTCATATGAGCGCCAGAAGATTAGAAGCGTTACAAGAGAGTAACAAACATAAAAAAGAAGGAGGGGAGATAGACGATAGATGTTTCATAGGAAAGAAGAAGCAAAGCACACCAGAGCACCCGCCAACCATGCACAACAGGTGTCAGTGTTACAAGGGAGTAACAAACACAAAAAAGAAAGAGGATAGATGAGGACGACAGATGATTGATAGGAAAGAAGGAGCAAACAACACCAGAGCACCCTTCAACCACCCACAAGGAGGTGAGAGAAAGATAGATCATAGATGTTTCACAGGAAAGATCACACTAGAGGAAACGCCAACCACCCACTCATACAATGTACTGTACTGCCTGCATATATACGTTGTTGAGCAGTTGAACTCTTCGCCTGGCATACTAAAGACCTTATAAAAAAGCTCCATTCACAAACAAAAAGATAATAAAATGTATATAAACATTTAAACTGACGATAGTAAGGGTGAGGAAAGAAAAAGCAACAGTTCCCCCTATTTTGTTCCGGCACAGTATGAGCATGACATTGATAAATTAGCCCATTTACAGTTCTACGGTGAATAAATAAGAACATGTTAATATCCCCCCCCCCCCCCCCTTTG